AATTATTAGTGTTTATAAAACTAAATAAATATTAAATACATTAATTATGATTAGTTTTTTAAATATATGTTAAATTCATTTTAATCTGGCAATTAATAGTACATACAATTACCCGATGCCGAGCACAACCAGACCAATAAAAACACACACGTAAACCCCATAATAACCCCCAATATCAACAATTTTATAGGTTTTGACATTTTTTAACAACAATTACATTTATTAGTTACTTAAATAAGTGGTAATAACACTAGAATCTTATGTGAAAACTATTTAGTGTTAAAAACAAAACAAAAAATCTGCGAAAAAAATTACTTTTAAAACAAGTTCTAATTTAATTATTCATTTCATATTTGTTTCTGTTATCAAAAACAAAAGCAAACATTAATTATTTGAAAAATCTATTTTTGATTTTAAATTGAAGGACAACTCTTTGCTAAAAATTTTATTTCCTAATATCTGTAGCTTATAAACTAAAACAACAAAATGTTTTAAATAAAAATATTGAATATAAGTTACAAACTCATGAAAATACATTGATTTGCTATCAAACAAATTGATAAATAATAGCTGCAAAGTGTTATTAAAATTCGTTAAATTATAGATTATATTTTGTATGACATTAAAGCAATCAAATCGGGTGCGATTACCCTTCATTGAAAATGGCTTTAGGACTTAAGTCACCTTATAGATTTTATTAATCTATTCGCAATTATTTGCCCCAAGAATAGCTTATAACTTAACTTTAATTTACACCTCAAGTTATAAATGACAATATTATCTAGTTTATAATTAATTATAAGCAATTATAAAGAGAATTATAATTATTATAACACTATTTATTATTAATTATTTAAATACAAAATAGTGTATATTTTTGTATTTTTGATTTAATTAATACAAAAATTATTATTTAAAACTATTCAAATTTGTATAAAAAATTTATTTTTATAAACAGATATTAATATATAAAAGTAAATTAAAAATCTTTAATATTTCAAATTTACATTATAATAAAATCGTATTTAAATAATTATTATAATATAATTATATAAATAATTATATAAATATCATATAATTTATTCAGTTAATATTTTGTATACATATTCATTAAACTTGTAGTAATAATAAACACAGATATTATGCAATCTTTTATTGCGAAGCAAATGGCCATTCAAATGGGTAATTAGGGTTATACCTGGCATTTTCAAACTTGGTTATTCTAAAATTTTTATTCAATGCAAATATTTTGCTCATCTCTTCGTCGCTCAATTGAAAATCAAAAATATTAAAATTCTCAACCAATCGCTCTTTTTTGGTTGTCTTGGGTATGACAATGATATTCCTCTGCACTAACCATCGCATAATCACCTGCGGAACTGTCTTCTCGTGTTTGGCCGCCATCTCCACGAGCACTGGCTCTTTAAACAGTGTTTGGTTCGCTTTGGCGATCGGACTGTAGGCCACGACCGCTATATTATTCTCGTGGCAAAAGTTCACTAATGGCTCCTGAGTTAAGTAGGGGTGGATCTCAACCTTAAAATCAAATAAAATTATTGTTATATATTTATACCAAACATTTAATTTATTAACTGTAAATAATTAATACCTGATTAACAAGTGGTTTAACGTAACCATTCTTCAAAATATGTTGCAATTGAGTGATATTGAAGTTGGAGACGCCGATGGCCCTGGTCAGATTGGCGTGATATGCCTCCTCCATTCCCTGCCACGTCTCGTATAAGTCCACAGAGAGA